GCATCCCCTTAAGACCCACTACACCTATCGTTGACCCGGCCTCAGGCTACCCACGTCCTGCTCGGACCATATCAGTTTATTTCTTAGTGTGTATATAAAAATGCTGACTTAACTCTCTATTATTGTATTTAAGACGAACTTAAATATAGGAATTGACTACGAACAAGCCTTAGTGTGCACCGAGTGCGAGCAACCGAATTCGCTGTTAATCGAGCGAGACAATGGGACGAGATTACGATCGTCGGTTGCGGCGTCGTATGTTTGTTTTCCCCGTTAATCAGAATATCAGACCTCGGGAAAGGCACCGCGGAGGAGGAATGCGGATGCGTTTGTTCCTTGGCACGTGCCGCACCGACCGCGCTCGTATTAAAATAGCCGCGAGAGGCCGGGAGGTAGAAATGATCGAAATGTTGGCGCCAACGGAAACAAATCTTTATTGCGAACAACGGCAACGCGGGGGTAATCTCATTCCGCGCGACGGTCGGCTTGGTAAAATCATCCCGCGCGTCATTTAACGTCGCCCCGTGTCCACTTGGCTCGATAATATCCGCTTTGTAAATTAACACGCGACACCGGGCCAAGTCGCTTGCTCGACGTTTCTATACTTGGCGCACACGTCGACGCTGCCGTAACGGAACGGCAGCTGCACGATGTTGATGTCGTAGTCGGTGTTGACGAGGACGGCGTTCAGCGAGGGTAGCTGCAACTTGTTGACGATGTCATCATCCTGTAGCTCGCCGGTGACCGGGTTCACGTAGGAGCAGCGGGTCTTCGCCAGTACGCAGGCGGTGGTGTTGATGAACAATTGTGCGAGCTGCTCGCTCGTGAGGTTGACGTAGGTGTTGCTGACGTTGGGGAACGCTGCCGCGGCCTCGCTAACGCATTCCCCGAGCTGCGGAAAGCACTTGTCAGCGGTCAACTCGTTGCGCCCGTCGCGTCAGATTTCGCGGTGCGGTTTTCAATCCGATAAAGTACGTACACACTCGGGAGGGAAAAACTGTACAATATAATACACGGGTGATAGCAGGAATTCGGTGAATCGCGCGCACATCCCCGTGTCCGCGCGATCTTCCTCTTGCGCGTGGAGACGTCGCCGATGTCGCACTCCCGACGAGGGGAGAGAAGTCGCGGGCCTCGAAAGACGTGCAGATTATTGGAAAGGATTGCGCGGGTCAATGAATATGGGAGGAGTGAACGTTGTAGTCGTTGTGGTCGTTGTAGTCGTTGTAGTCGTAGTTGCATTAATCTCTTTAATTATGCAGACGCCCCTCAGTGCTGGAACTTTCAAGAATTTAAAAGGACGCCGCTCAATTTGCCATGCTGCTCCTCGCCCTATCCTAGCTCCTCTGATGTCTATGCCCTGGATAATATTTGCAATAGGCGTCTTTTCATTGTCTATTTACAATATTTACAAGGGTACTTAACAATATTCGAAATTCCTTGTAGAGCATTGAAAGTAGAGGGTGGAAAATTAACGAGCAAGATTCTAAAATTATTAAGCGACACTGTACTAGTAGATGCGTTAGTTCTTTTTTAATGTTAGTTTGTAAGGGTCGGTATATTGTTAGAGAAACAAAGTGGGTGCGTAACGTGCGTAACGTGAACCGAGAGATGAGACGATAGCATTCAACGAGAAAGCGTTTGTATTAAGAGCGGTGATGCGCGGAGAAAGCGAGAGAGAGAGAGAGAGGGGGGCAATCGTAGAATGGCGTATCGGGTGACACGTCTAATAGCTATTGGTTCAGAGTTCAATCTTACCAAACTGTTCTTATTGACTTGACGGATGCATTCTAGGAACGAGCAGTATATCAACGCAGGACTGCGTCCATTCGGCATACTGGTCGTATTCTGGAGAGAACGAAAAGTCAAGTGCGTAACGAATTGTCAAATTTGTACGCGGGTAGTCACGAGACAGAGCGTGTAATAGAACAAGAACGAACGGTCGTTTCGTGCACGTACTCGCAAGTAGGCCTGACAGTGACCGTAGTTAGTGTTGTTGAGGTAAGTGTTGGCGCACGCGGAAATGACTGCTAACGTGGAGTAGCCCTGCGGTAAGACGCTGGCGCGGTAGAAGCAGCCGTAACAGGCGTCGCGTAGCGTCGCGTTGGACTGCGACAGGTTGCACACCTGATTCAGCAAGTCGGGTATCCTCACTCTGAAAAAAGTTACGCACGGGAATATCTTTTTGTCTTCTCCGCGTTAAGCGATATGAACGAGGGGGAAACCGCTGACCACAATCTTGTACACCAATGCCCACTAATGCCCAGTGGGCATTACTTTGTCTTATTATTATCTTATTTTATACTTTACAATATCTTATTTTATCTTTCTACTGCCCCAGCGAGACCCAATGCCCAAACTAATGCCCAAAAATACCGCAAATCTGTTCACCACAATGCTCTCAGCGGTTTCCCCCTCGGATACGAACAATCGGGATGTTTACTGTTTAACCGCGCCGAAGGTCCCCAGAAACTTTCCCAGACGCTCCTGTATCAGGGAGTCGACTTGGCTCACGCTGGAGACCGAGAAGAGTATTAGAATCACGACCGACGCCGCCCGCGTCATCGTTGCACGCGACTGTTTGGCGATTTCCCTGCGACTCGCATCGGCCGGGTACTTTTATACCGATGTGCGAATCTGATAAAACACGCCAGGGATGTATTTGGCTCCGTTTGATAAATGTTGTAATTCAGTTTGGCGGGGGGGGGGGGAGGATCTGCCCGAAAAGAAGTTATGAGCCGTTTACGCGAACGTCAATTAACGGTAACGATAAGTCTGGAAAAGTCAAGTTTCGTTTCTCTTACAATCTGGATCACGATTTAGACCGCGGTTTGGCGATTTCGCGTCTGATAGTGCAATTTATTGCACGATTTCATCGACCTCGTTTAGCTTTAACTCATAACTCCACTTTACCTCTTCTCTCCTTCGACTTGTTCGTAAAAAAGTAGTGCCCGATTTCGACGGATCGTAAGGTTAAAGGTAATCGACGCTGAAACGAGTCCTCGATCCGACTGCTTCTCCACTTTTTTTTTTGTATCCACGACCACTTTGCGGCCCTGGGCTGCGCCGAGTTGCAGCTAAAGCGTAACGATTCCCATTACTCGCGACCTCGCACACGAGGCCGTGACACGTGGTTGATCGTCGTTGTCTCGTGAAAATGGACCGTGAATAGGATATCTGGGACAGTTAGCGAATCCCACGATCGCTGTACCGGCGCAATTGTATATCGGACCGAAATATGGCCGGTCGCATTATCGCTAAATCGCGGAATGCATTCAGCGTCGCCCCCGGTCGCTGCATTTTTTTTTTTACGTCGACACGCGATGTGGCGTGCGCGGACGTTTCGCCGTTTATTTATTTTCCGGCCGGAGCCTCTCGCGTCGCGCGCGCGCGCGCGGGCCAAAAAATCACCTTCTCCCAACGGATCGTTTCACCCGGCCGGAAGTAGGAAGCTCATGTCGGCCACGGTCAAAAATGTACGCGACAACGTAACATTGTTTGCGGTGCGCTTCGTGTCTTCGTTGCGTAACGGACGGTAATCTTTCTTAATTAACCGGTTCATTCACCATTTTACCTGTTTCACCGGTTGAACATCGTGAATCGGGAACGTTTTGCGCTTCCTCCGCCGCCGTCCGTCTCTCCCACGGTCGGAAATACCTCGCGATCTGTGCCGTCTAATATCGCCGTCGCGTCAAATCGGTGATATCGCACGCGCGATTCTCGCCGACGCGAGACAAAAGGCGCGAAAGTTTCTCCATTCGGTCGCTATCTAGGGAGCTTTTAATTAGACACTGCACGGAGCGCGCCGTTTGGGAAGGACGTGAGGAAATCAGCGCGTCGGCTGCGCGACGAAAATGAATAGACAAACGGCGCGCTGGCGTCGGGGCGCTCTCTAATTTCGGGACCCACGTGGAAAAGTGGGCCATCGTGTGTGCGAGAGACGACACACGCGTCTCGCGGCTATTTGCGCGCCAGACAGACGGCGGGGAGGGCACGGCGGGACGAAGGCTGAAAATGCGCGAGGAGAGGGACGGATAGATAGAGGGGGGCGGGGTGACCAAGGGGGTGTGGAACGCGGTGCAACCCCACCGGGGACAGAATTAGAATGACTCACTGGGATTATTTAGGTTTATGTAATCCGAGAAATTCGGCGCGGCGACCGTCGCCGGTGACGTCCTTTCGGTGTCACCGCGTCACACCTCGGGCGTTCAGCGCCGTCGAGAGAGCTCGCGGCCCGGGGGTTCACGGTATCATGTTGCATCTTTGGTACTCGCGCGAATCCGCGACCCTTCGCGATCGCGCCCGGAATAGATTCGGCCGCGCAGGATACGACGCGGCCGTTGAAAGCGATCTCGCGAGACCTCGTAATCCTACCGTGCGACTTAGCGGAATTACGATACGTCCTTACGATTACTGACGTATCGAGTGACGCTGTCGCGAAGCGTTTTCGCGAACCGATCGAGCGCTGGTCGATACTTGACGAGGGCACACGTCGCCGCGTCGTAAAAATATCCCGCGCGTATTCGGTTCCCGCTTAGCACACGTCATCCGCGCGCGCGAAAGTGTCGCGAATCTTCGGGGACGCGCGTGTTCTCGACCTCCTGGTCCTCATCCGATTGCCGCGCGCCTCTTCGGGTCCATCGAATCTAATTACGACGGTTCCTCAAAGAAGCGCCCACGCGACAGCTGCATTCTCCTCCCAATTCCTTCGCGGCCCGCGCTCTTTGAACCCCTCAGCGAGGGCCAATTAAACGCGGAGGCGTCTTTGAGGAGACCGCCGCGATGACAGGTGCGTCGGCCAAATGTCCCGTGGTTATGACCGGCCGATTCAGCGGGCTAATTCATTAGGCGCTAGCCCTCGCGAGCGCTCTATTCGCGCGCGTTGCGCACTTTTAGCGCGCGAGGAAAGAAACGGGGAGAGGTCGGGCCGAAGTTTACGAACGCGTTACACGGCACGAACGAAAGATTAATTCCCCGCCGAGGTTGCTCGAGAGCGAAGGGTGCCACCGGGGGTGTCATCTCCACTGGATACTTTCCAATTACCAGAGACGAGAGTTCGCAACTCCGCTGATCCGTCAGCAATCTCTCTGCTGGGCGTTCCTCCGTCGCCGAATTAGGATGCGTACGCTCCGTGATTGTAGAAGGTTAAAATTCGTTTTGCTTTTTACCGCGCGCGCCGCTCCTTCCTCCCGGCCGGTGACGAGAGAGGGACGGCTCAATTATTTTTCCTCCCCACACGGGCCCGTCCTCTCGTGGCTCCTTTCTGGCCGTCTGATAAGTGCATTAGTTGAACCCGGAAATTGGTCGACACCCCGTGGCGTGTGCGCGCATTAACCCCACCATTTGGTTCCCGTCGTTTCAGAAGCACGAGAAGCCGACGACGGAAAAAAGAAAAGAAGCGGAACCAAAGAAAAAAACAAAGATTACGCGTACGCGAAGGAAAGAGGAAGACGACGCGGATGAGGGAAAAGGTGATCCCACGTATGAGCCGTGCATCAACAGATTTTAACCTACATACACACGCGTTTCGCCCTCGGTGGGATGCTTTTAGCCACGCGGAGAGCACAATGCCGAGTGCTTTGTGTCGAATCGCTGAAAGAAACAGCCCCGACGCGACGCCTTTAACGTCGCCGATTCCTCTCCTCTTCCATCTTCGCGATTAAATTGCCTTCGGATCGATATTTATCGTTTACTGTGTCGCGGATCCGGAATGTGAAGTCGGAAAAAATCTCGAGTCTCCTCGGACGTCCGGGACTTCGGGGGTTCTCTCCGACCTGCAGTTTGGCTCTTTAACGTAAACGTCACGTTTCAAATATAAATAACGCGCTCCTCCGCGGCTCCTTACTCGCGCACCCTTCATTTTTCTCGAGATATCTCAAGTCCGTTCGGTCACGGTCGCGGGACACTCGCCGCTATAATTCCCCCTCGTCATTCTTTAACGTAAGCCCGGCGGAGGAAAGAAGTGTAAGCCGTTCAGGTGTTCTCTCGGACCCGAACGTCGGAATCGACGATCCGAACCCGGCGGGATCAAACGCGAGCATGTAATGCGGCGATAAGGGCGCGGACCTTTCCCCGTAATACAACCGTATTCGTCACCGCGCGCGACCTGACGTATCTACCGTGCACATACATCTCTCTCGGCCGCATGCACCCTAATTCGCCGGGGATCCCCGGCCGATCCCACGTACATGTGGGCAACGACAGTCTACGGCGCCACGGGTCGTTAGGTTTTCGAGAGAGCGCGGGCCCGACCCCGTCTACAAGTATCGTAAGAAATCGACGATGATAAAAATCATTCGGCCACGTAAAGGGTGCCCGTATTGGCCCCAAGAGCGTAGTTCGAAGACGCGACTCGCGTTCGTTGTCATTGACAGACGCGTCGGAGATTTCTCGCGGTGAACCACTTCGAGTGTCAGAGTCCTCGCGTTCACGCGAAACAATAGTGAATTATTGTAATCTTTGCACGTCAAGTTAGCCCCACTTTTTCAAAATTGATCAATATAATAATACTCTCTGAAAATCAATCAGTGATTTAGCACTGAAAACGGCGAACAGTCACTGCGATTTTCAGTGGTACACTTATAACTGCAAATCAGTGACTATTCACCGTTTTCAGTGATAATCCACTGATTGACTTTTAGAGTTTAGAGCTCCGAATCGATTTTAGAAAGAGAGCTCCGGCGTTTAAAGCGGTGGAAAACGTCATTTGAAAATGTTCGCGGCGCTCGTACAATCGTCGATTATTGTATCCACATAACTCGGCGCGATTTCAACGCGTCTGAAACACGACGAGACTCCGCTTTTATTGATATTGCGAGAACATTACGCGCGACGAGAGTGTCCCTCGGCGGAGCGCTCGGAATTTTTAACGAACGACATAAATTATATCGCTCTCGGTGCGCCACGCCAACCCCCGTTCGTATGCGTCGGATGGAAAAATTTGACTAAGCGTATTCACGCATGCGAATTGCAGTCTCAAAGTGCGTCGCACGCGGATTATTAAAGCCCTCTCGGTGCCGCCGGTGTAACCCGTTAATAGATCTCTGTTTATTACGTAAACTCGCGGCAAGATTAGCTCCGAGGCATTCCGCGGCAAGTCGACACTTTGTCGTTAGGAAACGCGCCACGCGCCGCCGTTGCGTTCGACGTTGACGCATACCTGGACGTTGCATCGAATTAACATTCTCAGTGACGGTGCACATCCAGCGTTTGCGATGTCACGGCATTCGCGCGCGCATACGTGTCTCCGCCAGCCTGCTTGTATAGCACTGCGTGTCACGGGCACGATGATACATCGTGGCCGATCTTTGAAAAGACTGGATTAACAGTCCTCGACGCGACATTATTTTCGCGCGTCCTTCTCCTTCGCTCGACGTACCCCGCGCGTCCCCGAAAATAACTTACTCGCCGCTCGGTGTGCACGAGAGAAAAAGAGAAGCACGCTCTCAAGGAGCTGCAACACGCTCGTTAATTTTAACGATCCTATCGAAGTGGCAGCCGGCGCGCACTCCCGTCTCTCTTCATTTTCGCCCGCGTTTCATTCCGCTCTCTTCACTTTACATTTTCGCCGCTTTACAGTTTCGTACATGCGCAGGATGTGCAAAAAGAGAGAGAGACGTTTCGGAATTCCTTCGCGAAACGATTTGTCGTCCCTCGGTCGAGCGGTTTAGCGCAACGTAGCCTCCGCCTGGCTCGGCCAGTGATTTCCGTAGGTCTGATTCCAGCGTTCAAACCTGGAAATTGTATTTTTCCAACATACTTTCTAAAAGCGGATTGCGCGCCACGGCATTTCTATCCGAGCAGTCGCGGGCTAATTTTCACCTCTCGCTCCCCTTCGCACGTGACCTTCTCTGTTTTCGCTCGGAAGAGAAAAAAGCAACCGAGGTGTTGTTTTCGCTCTATATCAACCACCGCCTGATCCATGACAGGGTCAGACTCCCCCAAAAATTCTCTTTAAAAGTTCACAGGGTGCCGCAGGAATTTATTGAGGTGCCTCACGAGTGCTCTTAACGAAATTAAAGCTGCTCGGAGCAGTAGATACGGCAAAAAGAACGCGTCTCACGCTGGGAAATTTACGAAAATTTACGAAAATTTATGAAATTCGCATCCGCGAAGTTTCTCGACGAGACTCGTCGGTTCGATGACGGAACCGCTCGCCGTCTTGCGACACGTTCACGTGCGCGCACAAAATTAATCGCACGACAGCCCTTATCGAGTGAGACGGGTCGCGAGTAACAAATCTTACGGCGAATTCGATTGCTTCAACTAGTGCGCACTGAGGCTCGTTTATATCAATTCTTATATTTAGGGATCGCTTTAAATATCTCTTGCGATACTTCTTGGCCAGTAAAATAATCTGTACAGCATCCGTACGGATCATTTTTTAGCTAGATACACCCACAGAAAAAAATTCCGGATCCAATGCTATTACACTTTAATCTATCATAAGATAGGATCGATATAGCACCAATCATATTTATTATAGGGCAAGGAATACTTTAATCGTAAATGAAAAATTCGAAAATCTATAATAAAATGATAGTATGTATCGTCTTTTGTCGAATATCGCGTGCCAACTTTGTGCGTTGTAAGGTAGAGGAAAAATTTCTTTTAAACGCAAGAATATATAAAGTTACTCTTGTCTCAATATAGTAAGTCAATCTTTTTAATTCGATAGAGGAGAATAAGAATCATTGATTTTATTTTGATATTGTCTTATTTTTATACTAAATGAGGTTGTGAGAAAATGCGTCAAGAATATTTTTTGTCTAAATAACGGAAACCCTTTTTCTGAGGGTGTAGTTTTCGAACGTGTATGTAAAATCTTAAATGTAAGAATAACTCGTGAAGCCTTAGCGTGCACTCGGTGCAAGTAACCGAATCCGCTGTTGAACAACGAATTTCGCGGAATAAAATCCAACGCGGCTTTCGGTTTTATTCCGACGCATTAAGGATCTCGCCAGACAATATTAGCCGTTGCTCGACACGTCTCACGGGCGTGTAGTTGTGTACGGTTGTTTCTCGACGACGGCCCTT